TAGAGATGGGGTCTCGCTCTTGCTCAGGCTGGTCTCGAACTCCTGAGCTCAAACAATCTGCCCGCCTCGGCCTCCCAGAGTGCTAGGATTACAGGCCTGAGCCACCACGCCCAGCCTCAACTTTTATTTTTATAGACTTTATTTTTTAGAGCAGTTTAGGTTCACAGCAAAATTGCGTGCAAGATACAGAGGTTTCTTACATATTCTCTTCCCCCATGCATGCATAACCTCCCCATTACCAACATCCCCCACCAGGGTGGTACCTTTGTTACAACTGATGAACCTACACTGACACATCATTATTACTTAGAAACCATAGCTTACATTAGGGTTCACTCCTGATGTTGTACATTCTATGGTTTTGAACAAATGTATAACAACATGTATCCACTACTATAGTATCATACAGGGTAATTTCACTGCTCTAAAAATCTTCCGTGTTCCACCTACTCATCCTTCCCTCCCCTAACCCTGGGCACCACCATTCTTTTTATCATCTCCATAAGTTTTGCCTTTTCCAGAATGTCAGATAGTTGGAACCATACAGTATGTAGCCTTTTCATACTGACTTTTTTCACTTAGTAATATACATTTAAGTTTCCTCCATGTCTTTTTATGGCTTGATGGCTCATTTCTTTTTGTCATTGAATAATATTTCATTGCCTGGATGTACCACAAGTTATCCACTCACATACAGACTCACATATTGGTTGTTTCCAAGTTTTGGCAATTATGAATAATTTGTTTGTTTTTAAGAGACAGGGTATTACTCTGCTAGAGTGCAGTGGCCCAATCATAGCTCACCATAACCTCGAATTCCTGGGCTCAAGCGATCCCCCGCCTCAGTCTCCCCAGTAGCTGGGACTACAGGTGCACACCACTGTGCCTGACTAGTTTTCTCTTATTTTTATTTTTTGTCAAGAGAGAGTCTCGCTGTGTTGCCCAGGCTGGTATTGAACTCCTGGGCTCGAGCCATCCTCCTGCCTCAGCCTTCCATGTAGCTGAGACTACAGACACACGCTACCACGCCTGGCAAACTTTTCTCACTCTTGCTCAGGTTAGTCTTGAACTCCTGGCCCCAAACAATCCTCCCACCTTCGCCTCCCAAAGGGCTAGGATTACAGCCACGACCCACTGCGCACGGCCTTCACATCAACTTTAGAATCAGTTTGTCAATATCCACAAAATAACTTGCTGGGATTTTGATTCAGATTGCATTGAAATCTGTAGATGGATTTGGGGAAAAATGGTATCTTAATAATATTGACTCCTCTCATCCATGAATACAGTATCTCTTCCCATTTATGTACATCTCCTATAATTTCTCAGAAATATTTTGTAATTTTAGGTGTGCAGGTCTTCTGCATCTTTTGGTAGATCTATCCCTAAATAATCTCATGTTTGGTGATACTACTGTCAATGGTGTTGTTTTTTAGATTTCAATTAATGATTGATTGTTGCTAGTACAAATTGAATATCCCTTACCTGAAATGCTTGGGACCAGGAGCACTTTGGATCTCAATTTTTGGGGGATTTTGGAATATTTCCATATACGTAATGAGCTATCTTGGGAATGGGACCCAAGTCTAAACACAAAAAAATTCACTTATGTTTCATATACATTTGTTTTATAACATAGCCTGAAGATAATTTTATGTAGTATTTTAAATAATTTTTGCATGAAACAAAGTTTTGACTATAACCTGTCACATGAGGTCAGGTGTGGAATTTTCCGCTTGTGACATCATGTTGGTATTCAATAAATTTCAGATCTTAGAGTTTTTGGATTTTGGATTTTCAGATTAGGGATACTCAACCTGTATATAGAAATACAATTTTTAAATTCTGGTATTACATCCTGCAATCCTGCTAAAGTAACTTAGTTCTATCGGATTTTTTGTAGATTCCAGTAGATTCTCTACATACATAGATCACATCATCTGTGAGCACAGTTCTACTTTTTTCTCTCCAATGTGGGTGCCTTTTACTTCTTGTTCTGGTCTGACTGTACTGCTAGAACCTCCAGTACAATGTTAAATGGAAGTGGTAAGAGCAGACACCTTTGCCTTGTTCCTGATTTTAGGAGAAATATGTTCAGTATTTCACCATTAACTAAGATACTAGCTGTAGTTTTTTCTTTGATGCCCTTTATCAGATTGAGTAAATTTGCTGGAGTAACTATGAGGAATGGATATTGTATTTAATCTAATGCTTTTTCTGTATCTACTGAGATAATCATATAGTTTTTATTTTTAGTTTATTAAAATGGTAAATTACATTATTATAAATTAATATGGTGAATTAACTGATTTTGAAATGTTAAATCAACCTTACATTCCTAGGATAAACCTCAATTGGTTATGATGCATTATCCTTTTACTATTATTGCTGGATTCAATTTGATAAAATTTTGTTAAGTTTTGCATCTGTGTTTAGGAGGAATATTGGTCTATAATTATCTTTTCTTGTAATGTCTGCTTTAGGTAACAGAATAATAATGTCTTCATAGAATGAGTTGGGAAGTATTCTCTCTTCTTTAATTTTCTGGAAGAGTTCATGTAGAATTTAGTATTATTTTTTCCTTAAATGTTTGTAAGAACTTCCCAGTGAAGCCATTACAATATTAATGTTTTCTTTGTGGGAAGGTGACAATATGATAGGGTGGGTGGAACATGATTTCATGCTATTATTAACAAGATTCTAGCTTTTTCTTTTGAGACGGGGTCTCACTTTATCACCCAGGCTAGCGTGCAGTGGCCTGACCATAGCTCACTGTAACCTTGAATTCCTGGACTCAAGCAATCCTCCTGCCTCAGCCTCCTAAGTAGCTGGGACTACAGGTGTGCACCACCATGCCCGTTAATTTTTATTTTTTGTCACGACAGAGTCTCGCTACGTTGCCCAGGCTGGTTTCAAACTCCTGGCTTGAAGTGATCCTCCTGCCTCAGCCTCCCAAAGTGCTGGGATTACAGGTATGAGCCACTGCACCTGTGGGTGTTCATCATATTATTAAAAATAATTAAGTCAAGAAAAGCATCCATGCACGATGAGCATGTGTCATGAACCAAGGGTTGTGAATAATCTATTTTTATGTGCCTGAGATAAAAATAATAAATAGCTTGAGCCCTGTTCTCTTTCCTGAACCATTATATCATTTGGTTACCTATTAAATATTTCTTCTTGTGTAACCAACAAAACCTACCCTGCATTCTCATAGCTTCTCAAACCTTACAGTTATTTCTGATTCATTCTTCTTCTATATCTTCTAGATTTAATGGAGTGTCAAGATTTATGAATGTTTCTTTCAAACTTTCTCTTACTTCATCATTTCCATGCTTCTATATAATATTATATAAGCTTTCATCACCTCACACTTGGATTACCACAATTTGGTAATCAGACCTAAATCCAAATTCCAGATCTGTTGCTTCCTAGTGAGGGATAGACAACATATGTGAAAAATCCTAGAATAACACCTAACATTAGTAGGTATCAATAATTTTGATTAATTTTATTACTCTTGGTCTCTCTCATTAGAATTTACTCAATTCAGTAAAAACTTACATTTCCCTGCCATT